CTACTTTGTGTTTTGGAAGACGAACCGTCTTTGGCTGTCTTTCGTCTGTCTTTGGCTATCTTTTGATCATGGATGTGATCTGGAGCGTGAACATTTTTCTGCGGATCATCGAATACTATTGGTATCCGTACATGGCAGTGATGTGAGTGGATGAGATGTCATGTCGAAAGGGGGTATGGAAATTTGACGCCCTATGGGAGCACCCTTTGGGTAAGGGTGAAGCGACATGCCACTCATCATAGTGGTACAGTTCTATGCGCGGAAGATTGGTAGAGAACATTCTATTTGTTGTGGAAGAAACCTGTGCATTGTGACCAACCTGTATCACAATATTCTATTGGTCTTTGGACTTATCATTTTCTGACATCTCAGGATGATGTCATTGATCAGTGTTGACCTGATTGTGGTATATTGATCAGTTCTACATCTTATTCTGAATTCGACTTGAGTCTGGTACAGCAAATTGCTTGAACTGAAAATACCTACATTGGTTTGACATTGAGATTTTGTATTGTGTCGTCGATACTGTGAAGTTTACTCTCTCCAAGTGATGAGAACACAGCTAGAAACTCTTGGAGAAGAGTTTAAGCTAGCTGGAAATATCTGATGGAGAGAACCTAATATACTTTGAGTCTTGGACCTTGAGATGCATTGGCATTGTGAGGACAATGGCCACATTGGCTCATCTTATTTGTCTGAGAGTTTTGTGATGAGATGTTTCGGTATTGTGAGGACAATACCTACATCATCGTCATCGTGACCTATGGATCATACATTTGATCTTATGGTGTGCAACTTATCGTTCCTGAGAAGACTTTGGTTATCTCTATGAGGACGACATTGTTTTGAGACGACTTTGGTCTACATTGTGGATTGGCTATTACAGTGGTCGAAAGACTTCAGCGATACAACTGTATTTGGCTGACCTACATTGACAATGTCGAACAGAACATTCTATTCTACATTGAGATTTGAAGCTGTGAGATGCTATCTCTATGTGGAAAGCTGATTTGGAGAAGGAACGTTGTGTTCTGACTATATTTTGTATTCAGAAGAAGGTTGTACAGATACCTTGTGTGAACCACTTCGTTCTTGAGAAGTTAGTCAGCTTGTGACTAATGAGCTGGTTATTCACGTTTGGATGAGAACCAGTTTGATTTGAGAACTTTTGGAAGTGTTTCGATGTTTTTGAATTCATCTAGTGAAATTGAGTTTTGTAGACTTGTAGCAGCTGGAATAGTTTCAACAGACCTTTATTTGAAGAACTTGAGGTTTGTTAACTGGAAACCTGGAATTGAGTTTACCAGTTGAGACATCGGCTCGAAGGACTGGTGTCAGAAGTTCATTTAATGAACAAGAGCTGCTGTGTCACATAACTTGACATAAGACAGACCGACACAGGGAACACATCATCTTCTTTCTTCGTCTTCTTTCGTTTGTTTTCTGTTTTGCTTGTTTTGTTTGTTTGTTGTGTTTGTGTTTCCCCGTGACTGATCGTGTTGCGTCTGGAGCGAAAAGAAGAGGCTTGACGTCAGCATGCGGGAGTCGAGGGTGAAACAATCCTTTTGACACGGTATTGCTTTAGTTTAATTAGGTTGTGTTTGGCGTGCGTGGTTGACGTACGCGTTTGCCTGCGTAGTTCTGTAGGAATTTTGAGGAAGCGTTGGATCTGACCGCAGATCTGTGCACGGCGCTTTTTCTACACGGGATTCTAAGTTGCTCACGTAAAGCAAACTTACGCCACCTGGAATAGATTTTCGGTCTTGCATGGCCCCTCTTGGCTTGTGTTAAGCTGGATTGGGGAATCTGGACGGGCTGTCGTTGGCCAAGAGGATTCGATTTCTGGGCACCGCGCCGGGTCTACCGAGCAATTTCATTTGTTTGTGGCCCTATATTCGATCTAAACAGGCCCTCCAGACGGATCTCAAAGCCGTAATGTCCCAAGTGACCTGCGGTCCAAGGGTTGCGGCCAATTAAGTACATCTCTGTTCTTGCTCTTAATGTTTTCCGCTGCCTCGCCCCCTCTCCGACCTCTGCAGCAAGCATGCTGTTGAAATATTTGAAGTCATGAAGGTTTTGATTTCCTCCGGAATTGTTTAGACCTGAAATCGAGTTTCTCTGCCGATTTCACTCTCAAGGAGTGTGAATCAAACAAGAGATAAGTCAAGTAGAGCCACATGAACTGACATTGATCTTTTGTGCTTGTTGTCGCGTGCAAAAGGAGGCTTGAAGCGTGCAGTGTTGCAGGCGTTGGTTCTTGAGATCATAGTATGGGTTTTCGGCTCTCGCAGGGGGTGAAATGTTTTTTCTGGTCAGGTGGTGCTTTGGATGCGGGGGTGGGTCACAGGGATAGGTTTTCCAACCGAGGCTTTTGAACTCGCAATTATAGGGTGATTTGGGAAAGCGTGCGATGAGTTAAATAGAACGGAATTAGTACATGCACTGGCGCATGCTGGTTGCTTTTTGTGGTTTTGGTGTTTTTTTGTAACCGGTTTGCCACGTGTCCGTCGCTGGGCATTGCACGCTTGGACAGAAGTTGCCAGGAACCGTTTCCCTTCCTTCCTTGTGGTTTCCCGATAATCATTTGGTTGAGATGCCCGCTGTGAAAGCAGAGTTACCTGGTTGTGTTGTTTAAATGCTTTATAACGTGTGCAATGGAATAGCCACCTACCCATGCCCCACCCAATTTCATTGTTGTTCAGCATCGTTTGTGGCGTGGAGCTGTGTGCTGCAGCTGGCGGCAGTGGCTCTGACCACTTCAGCTGAAACCTGCAAATGCCGCACCAAGTTGCTTGACTATGAGAAGCTGTCGCTCAGGCTTTTTGTGAAACTTTTGAGAAGTGGCAAGCCGAGAACTGTTTGTTGGGACCATCGTCCACCAGTTGTCATCTTTACAGATGCGTGCCATGAGAGGGATTCACGTGATTTGGTCTGCGGTTTAGGAACTGTGGTGATCGACCAAGCTACGAAAACCAAACGATTCTTTTCTTGCGCATTGGACCATGAGCAGCGTGAGTTCCTGGCGAGTTGAACAAGCAACAGATCATCTTTGAAACTGAGACCTTTTGCGCTGTCCTTGCATACTTGCTTTGGATGAAGAACATTGAGCTTCGCCACAGATTTCTATATGTTGACAACGAAGGTACAAAATTTTGCATGATGAAGGGTTCATCCGAAAATGAAACGGTTGAAGTTCTCTGCGGTATCTTCGCAGAGCTTGAAATCTTAGTTGAGAAAAAATGCTGGCTTGCAAGGGTTCCATCCCACTCGAACACTGCTGACAAACCTTCAGGAGGAATTTCACATGATTTGCTGGCAACTGGTTTTCTGGATGAGATGGAAAATGTAATCATTGCTGTGAAGAGACTGTTTGCGTTCATGAGAAAGAAATTGGGGAAAAGGGCTGAATGTATCGTCAAGTTCCCCAAGTAAAAAAGTGGTCCGATCGCAGTGCATTTGACATCCAACTGTGAACGGCGTGCAGCAATAAATGACAGTCATGAATGACATTTTTTTATTTATGGAGTGAAGTGCTGTGCATCTTCTGCATTTTGTTTGCGCACCCACCTCCACCCCATCAACCACCAGTTCCACTTGAGTTAGCGCCGAACCCACAGCCTGAAAAGGGCTGAATGCATCGTCCAGTTCCCCAGCTAAAAAAGTGGTCCGATTGCACTGCATTTGACATCCAACTGTGAACGGCGTGCAGAAATACAAACACGTTTTTGGTCCTCTGGATTTTCTTTACTGGAGGTTCTGACCTTGGTTCAGAAAACACATTGGGATCTTTTTAGCGCCGGGTGCACGAATAAGGTTCCAATTTCAAAAGATAGGGTAATGTGATCTTTACAAGTAGTGCTGCCACACAACAAATTCAACTAGTGTATGCAAATGCAATGTGTGACAAGTACACTTCAAAGTTTTTGGCCAGTCTCGATTGGAAATTTGAAGAGTAATGTTAGTCATAAGAACAACGAAATCGACTAGTGACTAGAGAAAAGAACGAAGTAAAGACGTCAAAAACAGCAGAAAAAACAGCAGAAAAACGGTTTCCTGCGCATTTCCTCGCTGGATCTTGCTCGCGCAATGTAAGGCGGTTGAGGCGCGGTAGCACGGTCTTGAAATTGTTTGTTGAGAGCTGCGGTGAAGTTTGTTGCAGTCGACGGCTGTGGGGTAACTGTGTCAAGTGCTTGGCTGACGTGCGTGCCCAAATGCGGCTCACAGCGGCGCGGAAGGTAACAACGGTGCAGGGACAAACTGTAGAACTAGCACTGCTGTGGCCGCCGCACTGACATCCAGAGGTGCCAGCAAGGATCTCCAAGCAACATCTGCCATTGCTGGGCGGAAGTGGATGCTGCTGCTTGCTTGCCTGCCAAGTTTTTACAAATTTGCTTTACCTTTCTGGCGCGCTTTGGCTCGATTTTCTCCCGTTTTTGGACAGCCTATCGGAAAAACGAAATAGAAACCCACAAAAGCAAAACACGAGGATCAACTTGTGTGTCTTCTCTATTTCCGTGTGTTTGTTGCTTGTTGCGAGTCATCATTGTTCCATTTTTCTTGTCTTCGTTGTTTAATTTTTGCCAAGGTTATATAGATATGTCTTGAAGCGATTCTTTTGCAACATCGGTATTCGTCAAAACATCTGGAAACAGGGGCTTTGTTGTGTGGAGACACTGACACCCACCATCCCAAGTCTGCAGTCTTGGCCAGGTGAAGCCAACCTGAAACGAACAACCAGTTTGGCAAGGAGTTCAAAATCTATGCGATTCAGAAAGAAAACATGGATCTAGTGTCAAACCCATCTCACAGAAGATATGGTTTTTCATTATGATTTTTGAACCTTGGGCAAGCTGGTGTGAAGAGTTCCTGGAAGGGCAACCTCTCAGAAGTGCAGTTGGAGTTCCAAAAGCGATGAACCACATATCAACCCGTCAATGTTGCAATTGCACAGCAGGGGACGATTTGTGCTGCCTTCCTTTTAGCTTCAACCGTTGCGACGGAAGCAACGTGACGCGTTGGCGTGTTTTGGCGCCATGGTTGGGGCCTTGGGACAAAAACGTTGTAGATAATTTTTTTTGTGTTTAAAAACAGGATTGCTAAGCCAATAGATCAAGATGACTGTGTATTGTATGGGTTGTTGTTCAGTCATCAGTCCTCAATTGTGGTTGTGGTTGTTGTGGTTGTGGTTGTTGTCGTTCATCCAGATGACACAAATATCAAGAACGCATGTGGCCCATGAGGAGACCTCTGTCGATTGGGATCAGCTACGGGCTCAGCATGAAACTGTTGTCACTTTTGGGCATGAACGGTGATTTAATGGTGATTTAACCCATGTAAACACACAACAAACCAAGTTCATGCTATATTGATTTAATCTCGCATTTTTGGTGGTTGCCACAAGGGCTGCATCAACGGGAATGATCACACCGGCATGTGACAGAATCATACAACAGCTGAAATGGTTTTGCCAGGTCAATGATCCTCGATGAGATCAAAACAATGAGAGAACAGTACAACCAGCAGGCAGAATGCGGCCGGGAATGCCGTTTCAAATGGGAAGGCATGCTAATTAATTTGCATGAGTCACGTTTGACTGTACCGTACTGGAATTTGGTTCATAACATAAAATGATCTCACCATTCATTTGACAAATTCAAGAGTGCTTTGGCGGTATCATCACGTGTTTATCGTCAGAGTTTGGGATCATTTGGTTAATTTGGGTTTTGAACAAACATCAGTTGCTCAAAACATCTCCAAACAATCCAAAACAAAAACTTTACTGGTTGAGGTCTGAAAACATCTTGAAACAATCTAAACCAAGAACTTAGCATTTGGCATTTTTGTTGGATATTTTTTGATGTTATTAACGCCGCTGCCACAGGTGGCCAAAGAGGAGCCGTCGCCAAAGTTCCAGTTTTTCGACCCGGATGGGGTTTCGGTGCAATAGAAAACAATGGGAAAACTTGGGTTTTGGTCCATATTATATGCACAATCAATAAATGCAATTGCATATTAGTATTCTTTTTGGGGGAAAGATGGTGCTCTAATTTTCCGATAAACCGTTAAATGTCCAAAAAATGGGGAGGGTGTTACCCAAATGGCAATCTTATGCATTTTCATTTGGAAAATGATGATCAACCATGAAATTTGGGGAATTTCCCATTATTTTCAGGAAAATCTGAACTGGTTAATTTGACTGCAACATTTCAGATTATGTTGTGGTCTTCAGCCTTTGCTCTGAGGTGGGAGTTTGCTTGCACACTCGCTTGTTCCCCCAGGCCGACAGGGAATTGTGTTGTTGAACATTTTCAGACTTAACTTTGGTGCCCTGCAGAATGTAGACATATGATATCATATTACACCATATAAGTACTTATCTTAATTTATCAAGATTAACGAATTCAACGTAGTAATTATAAGTAATAATAGAGCGTAAATTGCATTTTTATTATAATTGTGTGACATAAGTTGATTGTAGGATAACTCTATTAACAATCCCATTCCCCTCAAACTAAACGCCCCTTATGTAAAGGGCCCCAAATTGACTAGATCCAATGTCCGAGTATTCATTACTGGGGGAAGATATTATCATCCACCCATATACAAAATGACATTTCATATTGGAAAATCTCATATTATACCACCATTATATCCCCATGTTTGTTTGTTAGATCCACCATAGAATTTCAAGAAAGTCAATGATCATGGTTTTTTTGCGAGGTTATCCCGCACTATCCTCATAGTGTTGGTGAAAACATCCATCCATTCTGGTGAAATCAACACGTTGGTGATTTTCTTTATCCGAATGATTGCTGGTTAAGTTAAACCACACATTCTTCTGATGAAATCTGAAAATCTTCATGCCTTGATGCTTAGATATCCCAATGATTGTTGGTTCAACCAGGCATACTTTTCTTCGTAGTGAATGATCCCGTGAGGTACGGTTTCACCTTCGAACAGGTACGCCGATGTGATAGAGGCCGTGGAGCTTTTGGAAGAGCTGGTGGAGGCCTTTTAACAGCCAGGGATTGATTTCAGCCACAGAAAAAATGGAGAAAAACGGGAAGTTTCAGCCACTTCTGCAGCAACAAGGGGTAGACTCCCAGAATCGCAAACAAAATGGTGCCAGGTGGGATTCCGGCGCGTGGATTGCTTGCATCACTTGATCCTCGCGAACCTGAAAATTGGTCAATATGCCAAGGCCAAGGTCGGCGCCAGCTCTCAGGGGGGGTTCTCCATCGTTGCGGGTTGCGGGTTTGGTCAGAGCTGGATGCCCAGAAGACCCGAATTTTTGGTCAATTTTGAACGATCCCATCTAGATTCTTTCAATGGTAATTAATTATTCTCGGCTATCATTGTCAGACACATCCAGTTTTGTATGGCTGGAGTTTGGATCTTTTGAGAAGAACTCTATCTGCATTGACCAGAAACCATATAAAACCATATGAAACCAATGTTTCTTGCTGATTACATCAATTACTGGTACAGCCCACTTTTCACTTCCCAACCCCCTCAACCATCCGTGGATGACAGGACAATGCTGACGTGTGGCTCCATCTCGAGCCAGACAACGGTGCCCTGTCCGGAATCATCACACGTGGTATGGACATTTTTTGACCGAGCTCTTAACCGAAAGTGATCAATGAGTCAACAAATGATTCCTATGAATCCTATGAATATGAATATCAATCTGAATGATTTCCAAAGATTTTCGGTGATGTTTTCATGTTTAGCAACGTTTACCATTCATCATATTCCTAAACATGGGATGAATGGGAAAAAATGATGCTGTATTTGACATAGTTTCGAGGTTTTGGTCCAGTAGACTGGACTGAAAGTGGGATGCCCTAATTCATGGCATTTTATAGCAACTTTAATGAGGAACATGATAAATTAATGCATCATGGGATATTGGATGGATTTTGGTGGATTTTGAATGATTTGCGGGTACCCTAAAAGACTTGGATTTTTGATGGCCTTTTTTTAGGCAGCATCTGAATGACCTCATCCTGATCTGATGGATGCTGATTGCCACTGAATTGTCATATGTTGAAACCATGTGGCCGATGAGCTGAATGAGTTTGAGCTGAATGAGTTTTTCGAATGCAGAAATTATTCCGGTCAATGGACATTCCGATCATGGCATTTTTGAAAATTCGGGCCAAGGTGTCGCGAGAATGATGTACTCTGTAGTGCGGGGCCCAGGGGCATCGCAGGGTGGCATGAACGCCGCTGAAACAGCTGCGTCGCTACGTCTCCAGGTTGTGGAGCGTGCCTCCCATGATGGCTGGATTGCCTGGTGCGGCTTTGCCTTGCTTGCAACAGGCAGTCGGGCAGATTTGCAGGTGGGTGGAATTTGGTGATAGTGCCTGGTGTGTAACCCCCAATAAGATTGAAGAAAACTACAAAAACAATAGATCCAATAGACAGCCATCCAGAATGGGATTTGTCGTTTCCCTTTTTTTCACCTTTCTGAGGATCGAGGCCATGGCCTTGTCCTCCGATCAGGTCTCATCGCAGCCTGGTTGCGCAGGAAGTGATGGGAGGCCGGCGCCACAGAATCAGCCTCTGGGAATCAAACAGCCATGGAAACTTACCATGTTTATATGCTTTATGTTGGTAAGTCATCTACAAATGGGTCTCCATATATTGAAGTACCAGAGGGTATAGGGCATGAAATAGTGATAGTTGCAAACCGACAGTTGCAAACCCATAGTCACTGATTTCCATTCACCAAAGGCATCTCAAACCCTGGCGGAGCAAGGCCTGTGCACCTGGAGTGATGAAGGGGCTCAGCTGCGACTCTGCCTGGACGCTATTGTACATTTCCTGCCCTGTGCAGCCAGCACAGCTGATCTTTTCTTGACACGGCAAGTTCGTTGAGGCGACAGAATGGTAGTATTACTAGTTTATCGTTGGGATATCCCTCAGAGAAGAAGTCTGGTACCACCATGTGGATCCAAAAATGAATCCATTTGGCTCGTTGGACCATGGTCAGTGGATGGCAAGTCAGGCGAAAAGGTCAGATAGGGCCTGCCATGAGGATGAATCGACTGCAGACTTGGGTTTATTTTTACGCGTGAAACATCCCATTATTGGACCCTGATCCATGTCTACCTGAAGGGCTCAACTGGGAAAGAGCCCGAGCAGCTTTGACGATATCCTCAAGATATCTGAAGATAAATGGTGCATCCAACTGATGATCTGATGATGTCTGGCAATTCCTTGCATTCTCCTCATGGTCATCAACCAAGCACTTGGAAGCTCCAAGGGTTTGGAATGCGTCGAGGCTCATTTAAGGCCCTTTTTTAAAATCAATGGTTCAAGAAACGCAAGAATGGACAGCACTAGATGAAGATCCTTTGTTTCTGATACAAGACCCCAAATGCTGTAAAGCCACACGATACACCTCGGATGAGTTCCTCACCACCACCTGCACCACATCATCTTTGATCTCCTGCCGTGACAGTTGCCTTCGGCGAAAAAAAAGGTTGAGTGACGAGCTCGGGGGTTCAAAGGATGGACATGGCCATGAAAATGGGAGACTTAGATGGATTTAGGATGGATCTAGGCCAATGATACCTGGAGGGGTGTCTTTCTTTGCCTCTGACTTTCAACATTTACCTGGGATGACGAATCCAAAGTTATTGGCACCTTTCATATGAGATGAAACCATCAAACTGATTCCATGTGATGTTGGTCAATGTGGGTCTTTTTGCTGTGACTTCAAGTAGCACTTGTCCAAATGTCCAAATGTAGCTTTAGGCACCAAGACGAGCGGCGACACAACCATCTATGCCTGGCTCAAGAGATGTGCAATGAAGTCAGATGCAGCACCGAAGTCAGAGAAGTTGACGTCAACCAGCTCCATATGGAACCCCCACCACCAGGTCACCACCACTCGCTACCTTTGCGTTTTCCCTGAGTCGACTTGAGCCCCGTGAAAGCACCAGTCCGTCACCAGGGGTTGTGACCCTAGTGCTGCAGTGAGCCCCCTGCCGCCCCAATGTTGCCGGATGCCTAGAGCCTGATAGTGTTGCACGACCTGAGTGACTCCGGCTTGGGTATGGGGTCCAAACTCAATGGACCTGTGAATTTGGTCAGTGTTATACATGGGTGTAATTATCTGAGAATGGGGTACCCCTACATCCAATGGCTTGTCATCATCCGTACTAAAAATGGATATCTTGTGGGTATAATCCATTTTCAGACAAACCCGTATCTCTGATATTCTGCCACAATCACTTGAGCCACGTGCACTTGGACTGTTAAGGTGATGCCGTCTCCGCACTATTCCGACCCAGATGGGGGTGACATTGATCTAGATGCTTCCTGCAGCATGGGGCCGTGTGGGGCAGTCGCACCTCTGTTCTTGTGGGATGATGTATAGTAGGCACATGTAGGCAGCCTTCGCTGGATCACATTCTTTCATGTATGACCATGAGTATCCTGATTTTTCCAAAACATCAGTACTAGCAGCCTAATACACTAATACATACACTAACACTATTTGTGCAACAGGAAGATTCCCAACCTTTGACCCCTTAGAAGCCCTGGTGCCCAGGCTCCAGGCGCCACTCTGGCAGCTACAAGCCCTCAGAAGAAGAGAAAGGGGGCCAAGGCGGGAAGGACCTGCAGAGACCTGCAGAGACCTGCAGGATGGACAGTTGTGGCTTGTCCCATTGGATTTCCCCCCAAAATGGGGGGGAGAACTGGGATAACTGGATAACCCAAGTTGAACTGATTCTGTTGAATGGGGAAACCAGTGGTTTGGGGTACTCCAAGTTTGTCGAATTCAACTTGGAGAAACAACCATATCCTTGTCACCTTGAACCTTGCAAATCCACATAGCAATTATCAGCAAACCATCCAGTCACTGCGTGAGGCATCAGCTACAGAAGAGGGCACCATTGAAGCACAGCTTGGCTGCGGTTCTGTGCGAGAGCCCAGGGCGCAGAGGCATTTGCGCGACCAAACTAGGGGCATTGCAAAATATCAAACTTATTGCCATCTGGTTATTTAACATAGCCATGGAAAATCACCATTTTTAATAGGTAAGCCATCTATAAATGGGCCATTTCCCATGGCTATGTTAAATAACCAGAGGGTAACATTTAATAATAATGCGCATGATATAAAGCTCTTTCTTGGGTACCCAAGTTTTGGGCAAACTCATTTGCAATGTTACTGAACTTGATTCGGTTCAGTTCTTTTAGCGTTTTCTAAGGTTACCAGGACTTTCAAGTTTTTGACCCACTCACACACTTGTATACTGAAGCACATTTGGAAAAAGTGCAGCCTGGATTACCACTCCTTCTGTTTACTGGCAAGAAATCTTGTTTTTCCACCTTGCCGTGACATTTTGTTGCTTTTCCGCTGAGGTCTGCTTTGAGCAGATTGATGAAATCGACACCGGGGACTTCAAATATGTGGGACCTGGACATGGCACCTATGAGCAGGTCACCTTTATCCCTGAGGCGTGGAACCAGCAAAGTTGGTCGTTCCATCAGCACGAGAAATGGCAAGACCCATCAAGACCTCCAGATTTCTTTTAACCATCCTTTTGATCACCCAACTTTAGGCGTTTCTTATTTTTTTTTCCCACATGTTTTCCGTTTGATCATCCCTTGAATCATCCAATTTTTGTTGTCCAACACTGAACTTCTCCCCTTTCCACCAGGTCAACCTGAAGCCCAACCATGCTGGGATGCCAGCGGTGGAAGAGGTGGACGAGAAACCCGGCTGCTCCAAGTTGGGGTTGCTGGTCTACTGCGCCTGGAAACTCAGCTGATTTCCCCAGTCATCACCATATTTATGGGTGGTATAAACCATCAAAAATGGTATTGTTTATGACACTGTTTTTACCACATTAGTAACTAATAATTGAAGCCATGAGTAGGCATGGGGTGTTATGGTTGTAGGGAACCACCTATGATGTTTTTCTTGTTCGTGAGGTTTATTAGCATGTCGATTGAGTTTTTTCCATGGCGGAATGTTGCTCCAAGCCATGCTTTTGTGAGCCTCGAAGGCATGGAAACCAACATGGGTTGCTCCGAAAATTGGTGTATCTTTGGGTATCTTGGGGTCCAGTCCAGAGGCGAATCATCATGTGTTCATGATATTTTGCGACCTTTCCATATTTTTCCCGAATCTTCCCTTGAAATATCTTGAAATCATACCAGTTCGCAGCCAGTTCGCAGCAAGTTCAGCCCACATCCGTACCTGGCTGAGGTCCTCTGTTGGATCCTGGTGGGCTTAGCTCTACTGCTGCCAGGGTCCCAGGGTCCCAGTATCGACCTGGATCATGGAATGAGCTTTACAGGCGATTCATCCTTACTACTGTACTAAAAAACATATAAATCTTGAGCATCTATGATCATCTATGAACATCTTGGCATTTTTTTGTGCTATTTTGTGAGTTCTTGTGAATCCATATAGGCTTCAACATTATCGCATCTTCTTTTTCAGAAGCAGGTTTGAGACACATGTCACCGCAAATTAATATGATGGTGGAGCCGGCGCTAGTTTGCTAGTACAGAAGAATGAATCCTTCCAAGGTAGACTCAGAAAACCCGCCTCAACTCACCTTAGCCTTAGACTGTATGATTCAATCCACTGTAAATCAATAGATCATTTCAATTAATTTCAACAGTCTATTGGAAGGTCCAGTTGCCCCTATCCATGGCCTTGTCCCTGTCGCCACTAGAGTTTGGTTTGCCGCATCTGAAACTGTGGACCATAGATGCCTTTTTCCCACTGGTTATTTAGTTTCCTGTAACGCGGCCACCTCCCCATCTATTTGGACAACGCTTTGGGGTTGTCTGGACCCCAAGTAATTACTCATATATAAATCCATGGATGAATCATCATTATCCTGCTTATATAATTCCCATTTTGCTGGTTTTTTTCCGGTAGAATTTCCCGTGTTCTTTCGTTGACGATAAAGTTGGAGCAATTTTTATCCCAAAGCAACTGATGGCCGCGGGTTCAGGACTTGGCTCATCCTCCACCGGCCTGCGACTTCCGTAGGAAGTGCGCCGGCCTTTGGACATGCGCCGGCCTTTGGACATGCACCGGCGCTGGCTCACCCTCCAGGTGTTCGGTGACTAGTTAAATCTGCAAGTGTTACTTGATTTTTGTAGATGACCTTTATCCGAAATCACGTTGGTTTTGTGGACATTTCATAGTAGATTACAATATATGTTGATATATTTTGATATATTAGATGGTACACACGTGATATTTAGACAGATATTGATATTATGGTCTATGATAGTGTACTTGGTTGTGTTCCTGCTGTCCAGTTTCCCTTGGCAGCTGGACTGCAACTACTTCAACACGTTCAAAACATCATAGAGGTGTGCCGAACCAAGCAGTCAAGATGCAGCCTGCAGGCCCAAGCTACGATTGCGAGGCAAGGGAATTGATGGTGACTGAGACGGTGCTGTTGGAACAGCGTTTCAAATGGGAGAAATTGTACCAATGGATGTTGCATTTGACCCAGCTTGACAAGAATCGGTAGAAGTCGCAGAGCCCACACTTGCTTCCGTGCAGGCTGGATATTGGAACTGGGAGAAGGCCAGACTGAGATACAGAGATGCGACATGTGAAAGGCAAGATCTAGAGCTGTCATGACTTAACATGGCAATGGAAAATCCTCCATAGATGATATTTCCCATTAAAACCGTCCATTGAGTGCAGGGATTTCCCATTGGGTCGCATCTGGCTTCCATGCCCGACACAGGGTTGGAGCGATGCAAAGAAAGGCTACTGCTGCGCGATGGCGGGCAAAGGCGGGGGGCTATTGACTCATTGACCTGGCCCACACTAGCATCTGAGATGGTTCACCAATGCGATATTGACTAGTTGACCCACATCAACACAATATGTATATGTATGTATATATATATAATATTAAATATTAATATATTTTATTTATATTTATATGTTGATATTAATATTGATATTTATATGTTGATTTTAACATTAATATATTTATATAGATATACATTGCATAATATATGATAATATATGTGTATAATATATCCTATACACATTATATACACACTTCAATAGAAATTTGACATTATCAACCCATATGAAAGCCATGTACACAGCACCAGTCGCGGCAGGCTGTTCTCTGCATACCACCGAAGAGCCCTTTGACTGCGCCGAAGCGCTGCAGAATTGGCACGTGGCGTTTGGGCCCCTGGGGGGTGGTTCAGGAGGGATCAACAGAAGACTCAGAAGGCTTTTGCTTCGCCAAATCTTAGGTTTCTGTGTGAAATGATGTGATTTGGTGCCAGTTTGAATGATATGATCATGATGATCATGATGATCATGATGATCAGATTCTTCAGGTGGTCTCTGAAGAAAAAGCGCTGGTGCTGCGACCATCACCAGAAAGGCTGTGCTGCTCACAGCCACATCACCATTTCAAGGCACAGCTGTACAAAAGGTGTCATGGTGTTTGTTGGCATTTTCTTGAGGCAAAGGAGGAGTCTGATTCAAATCAAAGATGGCAAGGACGAAGATCCCCAGTTAGAGGAGGACAATTTTTCAAATACATACTCATCATGACTCATGGTTCATGACTCCCAACAGTACAATCAACATCAATCAACATCAATCAACATCAATCAACATCAATCAACATCAATCAACATCAATCAACATCAATCAACATCAATCAACATCAATCAACATCAATCAACATCAATCAACATCAATCAACATCAATCAACATCAATCATCATCATGAACATTGTCACGTTTAATCCCTGGCATCCAAGGGTATCAGTTTGCCTCAGGGCCTTCGATTGTCAGAGTGGGGCCACTATCACCTGGACAAAAACCAAGCAGGCCTTGGGGGCTGTACATCTCCAGACGAAGTTGAGTAGGACATTAAGTACATGATCATGATTGATTTCGCATGAAATCAGCTTGATTTAGCATGATTACTGTCCCAAATTTCAATTCCAACAAGGGACACTCGGATTTTGACATGTGAAAGTCTAACACTTTTCCATGACGCCCCGTGACGCCGCGTGGAGGCTTTCTGCTGTTCTCGCTTTCGCCTGGGTTGCGGCAAGATGTTGACGCCAGTGCCGTACGACTGCACCGCAGGCGCGTGTTGTTCTTTGGAGATCTCCGTGGATGGGAATCTTCAAGATTTCAAGTTGCGGTCTTGAGATTGGAATTTGCTGATACGGATATGGAAGTCGCAACTCATTACCCTCTTGTGTTTGGTTTTTGGTGGATTGCTATTTCGCAGAAGTCTGAATTGTTACAGTTAAAGCCAAGGCTTATAAGTTACAAGACCCCAGCGGCTGGATCTCTGTGGATCTCAGACCTCTGTGAAAAATACCATGTTTCACAAGCAAGGCGCAATGCCTTCTTTAAAATACACCTTGAACAACTAGCGTAACTAGCAGCACACCCAGATCAGTCAGAAAATTCCAGGTGTCAAGCGATGGAAGACCGGTTGGTCTGACTCCAAGAAAGAGTGGTGCTGCGAGGAGCCAAAGTCTCATTTTTGTTTGTATCTTGGTGCAGCAAGACAAGCAACCTGCTGAACTGGAGTCATGATGAGTCAGTGTTTCCCTGGGAATTTCGCCACTCCCTCTCCAAAATGAAGCAGTGGATGCTACGGTCATGCTGGTGCCACTGGAGGAGTTCAAGGTCGGCTGTCCGCACGAAAGTTCCGACTTTGACTGCCAAGCGGGCTACGACAATTGGAAGGTGGGATAGTAGTACATTACTGGAAGACGGTGGTAGTAGTCGTCAAGGGTATTGCTTGTGATAATCGCTGAAAGAATGAGGAAACTATCCTTGGAGCTGTCGTCTTTTGGAAGGGGTTGAATTGTTCAATGTTTTTGGGCGCACCTATCCATCTCTTTCTCTTTTCGACTTTGTTTAGGATTCATCAAGAACTCAAAACCCCAAACTTGGGTAGCCGTTTCCCGTGAGTTTGGGACTCAAATGGGAAATGACTTGTTCTCTTCATCATTTTGGGTTTTCTTGTTCTCCTGCATGGTTTGTTCAGGGCGCTTTTTCCTATTTGCATGCAGTTTCACGAACTGCAGGTGGGCTGGTCCATGGACAAGATGCGGTACTGCTGCGATACCCAACAGCGTCAGGATGCCAATGGGGGATGCCGGATGCCCACAAAATATCATAAAACATGGAACACGTGATGATTAACCAGTGAGACAGATTGAGGTACCCTATTTGCTGACAAACTCAATTGATCATAGCTCTATATATATATATATAATACTCATTATACATCTACATAATGGAACACATAATCATGATGAAATTTGAGGAGCACGCAGCTGGCTCAGGTGGTTGCATGGCTACGACCACCACTCCGATGTTCGACTGCCATGCCGGGCTGAAAGATTGGGAGGCCCGGCTGAGCCACAAGCTGAGCCGTGGCTGACAGAGTTTTGTTGGGTGATACTTCAATTGATGGGAACTGATAATATCTATATATATATATATCTAATATTAATGGCATTTAATGGCCTTAAATGATTTTGTGATACATCAATTGATCCACCAATTGATGCAACAATGGGGACAAAAACAAAACAATCCACGAAGATCTGGGACTCCCGGCCTCGCATTCCAGGCCGGATGGTCCCATCCCAAGAAGCTCTGGTGCTGCCAGCGCGAGCAGCGTGGATGTGAGGGGAGCCCAGGGGGTTCAACAAAGGGTGCTGGGTGCCCCAGGTCCCCGATATTTTTCCCTGGGGCTGCCCCGAAAAAAGATGATGTATCCCCAAATCTACAGTAATGGTTTAGAAGTTTAGAACATCAAATTTTCCCGGCTAAAATGGCAATTCTATTGGGAAGACCCCAGTTCTGGCTGGTTCTGGGCAAAACCACATGTTTTTTTTCTCACTCAGTTTCCTTGGACGCCGTCAAAGACATATGGGATTTCACTAGACGATGAAGCTACAAAGGGCACATTGGGGTGAAACCGCGACAGAAAGTTGTCCCAATCCAAGGTCCACTGACCACCACCGAGCAATATGACTGCTCGGAGGGAGTCAGTGAGTGGAAGGACCCTGGTGCCAGTGGCTTTTCTGACATCCAAGGCTGTTCAAAGGTGATCTGGAAGCATGGGAAGATTCATAGCAAAACATATGACATTTGGCACATTTCAAACTGCCATTTTTTTTCTTGAAAGAGTCAACATTTCTTTGAATCCCGACTTTGTCTCAACTGCGTTTCTTCCAAAGTTGTGGCGAGATTGCCAAGCGGCAGGAAGCTTGGTCGGTCTTGAAGCAGCAGTGGTGCTGTGAGCGCCACAGCGTTGGCTGCGTCCACACAACGGTACTACCCTTCGATTGCTTCGCTGGCTTCAGAGTCTTGGCTGCCATAGTGCCATGCTCCAGGAACTGAAAGATGGAGGTGTGTCATGCCCATATCCCCAAAAGCTGTGACATCTCGAGTTCTGATCCTTTGGATTTTGAAGAGCTGCAAGTTGTGGCTCAGGTGAGTTGCACTTGGCGTGGACCAGCATGAAGAAGGTTCCCATGACGGTTTCAGTGGTTTGATCATGATTTTCAGACTAAAACGACCGCAGAAATTGCTGACCCATCCCTTATTTTCAGAGCCACCCACATCTCATCTTGTGAGTTAATGTTGGTGAAACATATCTCATAATCATATGGAGTATATAATATCCCACAATCTGCCCTTAACAGATATGTATATATATATGTATACATATGTTTTCAATTTTTAATCAAATCAAACTTAAAGGGAATATTACCGAGTATTATATCAAAAAATAGATTATATCCAAAAAACGGGATACTGTAATGTTGGGTAACCCAACAATAAACCTACCATTTGGGGATTTCTTCCGCGTCCAGACCTGGTGTTGTCACCACTTCCAACGGGGCTGCGTCTCCACCACGATGGTCACATCTTTGCCGTATGACTGTCCCTTGGTGCGAAAGTTTCACATGGGGGAGCGCAACCAAAATAGGGGATATATATATATATATATATTAATGGAGTAAACTTTGGATGATTTATATCAGCAACAAATATGCAAATATGATGGCCAGTTTATTAATGGAGTATTCTTGGGATGTGGATACAGTTTCAAAACTGGTGATACACCGTTATATACACCATTATACCCCCAATTTGTGGCAGTGCTGATGGGAAAATATAAGATGATGATGGTGGTGGTGGTGATGATGATTACATAAGTGCGGATGTCGGATGGAGTACTGTTTTTTTTTTTTCACAAAACGTGGTGAAGGAAATCAACCAGCCGATGGATGTTGATGAATCGTGATGACGGAAGTCAAGTTAGTCATGCAAACCATCTCATTTCCTTATTTGGTTGTGATTCTGATATTTCACTTGTGTCAGGATTTAACTTGATACAAGGAGTGACGTCCTTCGCCAATGCCTGGCTCTGTTGGATATTGAAGCTCAGTGGGGTTGACGCTCCAAGACTCGCCAGATGTTTTTTTTTCATTTACTGACTTGGACGAAGGGAAAATTGACACCTCAAACTTTGGCGATATTTGATGAATCCATGGCCTTCCAGAGGATCCCAAAAAGTCAACTCAGAGATGACTATTCGATGGGCACCCAAATTTTTTCCATCGAGGCTATGCGGGCTACGAGCGGTGGAGAACAGGTTGGTCAGATGCCAAAAAGCACTGGTGCTGCGATCGTTTTGGCAAAGGCTGCCCACACAAGGAGAGAAGCGTCGAGTAAATCTCGATGCGAACAAGGCTTGTTAACCCATTGTTTGGTGAATCGCTTTCTCTCCTGATTCGTTTTACCCACGCCCCATTGGTCCTTTGGTTGGTTGTACTTCGATGGCAGGAGGCCACTGTGCTCTTTGACTGCGAAGCAGGCCTTCCTCGTTGGGAAACGCATCTCGACAGATAGTATAACGGAGGTATTCAGCCAGAGGCGGAAGTAGTGTTGCCTTTTCCCTTTTTCGTAGGACATGCTTATATTTTCTTATGATTTTGCTACCTATCCAAACCACGGCCTGGTCTGTGTGCGTAAACTTTAGTTGCGTTGCGTGGGGTACACTCTAGCGGCTAGCGAGTGATGGATCTCATGGTCTGAGAACCAATCCTTCAACATTCACCAATCTCTTGAAGATGGCATTTTGAAACAATCCGAGGGAAAAGGTGATCCTGATTCCCAACAGAGATTAAAACAGAAAGCCTACTGACTGTATTTGGAGATTTTGGAGACACCCATACCTCGGAGTCTTGGAATGTCTCGGGTGTCTTCTGAGGGGTTGGACCACTGCCAAGAAGCGTTGGTGTTGTGTTCACCGGAAGCGTGGCTGCGATCCTTACGATTGTCGCCTGACAGTCAGGGGGCTGTGGCTGTGTCTCTGGGACCTTGGGTATATAGAAACTATGGGGTGTTTTCCTTTTAATGTGTTGTATGTGTTTTTTGTTTGCATTGAACCTAGCAACTGGGGGGTTCAATGTTACAGAATTCAGCCAAAAGCTTCGATCTAGAGCATCCCTGAAGCTGCGGGCTTGTCGCCCCAAGGGGACGGTCGCAAACACGTGCAAACTCTGTATTGATTGTAGGAAACTATATATATATATATATAATATCCTCCAATAAAATCCGCTCAGCTTTCAACACAGTGCCAGAATCCAGACCAGTTGGATGACCATTTCGAATAGTCTTGGGCCACTCTTAGTGCTGAGGCGACTTTGAATACGAGACCTGGAGAGAGACATGGTCCTTGTCCAAACAGGCTTGGTGTTGTGAGCCCTGGCGGCAGTTCCTGTGTTGTAAATTGTATTTTTTCCATTTTTTTCCAATGCGATCTTGTTGCCGTAGTCACGATGATCGTGATGATGATGATGATGATGATGATGATGATGATCATGATGATCATGATGATCATGATGATCATGATGATCATGATTACAGTATTATTATGACTATTGTTGTTATTGTTATATATTACTAGTTATTACTATGTACTATTGCTAAAATGACTAATATCACCTATTATTATTATTACTATAACTATTATTATTGTTTTTCTAATATTACTATCATTATTACTAATATCGTTAGCATGACCATTATCAACCATTATCATTATACGAGAAATAGCTATGTTTTTGGACACTAAGGACTCGACGAAGCGCGGCTGTCCTCCGCCAACCACCACAGCTCCCTTCGACTGCAGCGCTGGGTTTCCTGACTGGCCACTGGGTATGGGGGAATGGGATGATGGTTAATAATTATTAGATGTTATTAGTTATTCTGGTTGATAGTTATGATAGTTATTGGTTATTGGTTATTGGTTATTAGGAATTCCCCCAATTAGTTATTAGTCAATGGGATGATGGTTGATAGTTATTGGTTATTGGTTATTGTTTATTAGGAATTCCCCCATTCCCTACTAAGCACCAGTGATCTCCTGTAGAAACGCTGCCTTCTTGGGGGTTGGTCATCCTGCATCGATGAAAAGGAATTGAACGGGTGATGCTTAAAACGCCAAGAAAAATACTGACCCCGAAACCGTTGGATATTGATTAGATGAACTACCCGCGACTGAACCGAGATATTGTAAGATACTACAGTATTATACTGTAAGCCCATTCACAGACGCTGTCCATCATATGGTGGCGGACTCCCATCATGCTTGGCAAATGGTGAGCCCGTGCGGAGCGTGCTTACTGGATTTTCCGCACCAAGGTACTCCAACTGGGACATTGAAACTTAGCTGCAGAGGCACCATGCAAAGGGTGACTCGGAGCCGGAGGTCGTTGACATCGTGGCTTTATAATTCTTGACAACTTGTCGAATTGAATGCTTCTTCAGTATCTGGCTCAGGGAGATAGCAGATCATCTCCGACTTCTTCGCGGGATCTGTGAAAAACAGTGGGATAGCAGCAACCGAACTTTGAGAATTCCTCCATTGCAATCCCAGGATTGGTCTGCAGCGCGAAAGTCATGGTGTTGTCGGAACCACCAGCGTGGCTGTAACCGTTTCGACTGCCATTTGCACTTCAGGCAAGGGATGTACTGAGGTGTCCGAGGGTTGTGTTTGGATGATGCAAATTTTTTGGGGACCCCAAGAGTTTCAACAAGGATTCTTCAAAGGGTTTGTGTTTTAGTTTAGGACAGGGTTATTTAGATGAGAGCAGTCAGTATTGTGAGTTGGCAAGCCATGAACAAAGTCAGGCAACGATGACAGGACGCACCTTAAGTACTAGACTAGCATCTAAGAATCTACCCAGGAGGACTGTGAACCATTCATTTTTGCACCCATTATCGGCGCATGCCCTTTTAGGTACTACACATGCAGTGCCATGCATTTCGTGTGATTTCATAAGTTTCGTATCTGTTTTTCTGCTATGTGACTATAGAATTTGGACGGGCAACAAACTTCAGCTCTATCCAAGAGTCCAGCTACACCGGCCCTTTGCGCGCAGTGAATGGGAAGTAAAGTGGCCGCGGGAGAAGAAGGACTATTGTTGCAAACGCACCTGGCCGGCATAGATCAATGGGAGCCATGGCAATCGTCATTTTCGGGACCGCAGGAGCTTAAAGATCCTGAAACTGACCATGGACTTTTGTGGCAAAGGGCATGCTGTAAGCTTCAGTTGGGTAGGTTCCTTCAGGTTTGAAAATAGGCTACCCCGCAAATTCCCTGGGTTTACCATGTTCCCTATTAGAATTGCCATTTGCTAGTATACATTAGTATACCGTACCCCATTTTAAGACACCCCTTCATGGCAATTTTATTTGTAAACCAAGGGGTCCAGGGCGTCTCCCCCTGAGGCATTGGTATGGGATGTCCAAAGAAGGCAACGCCAGCTCCTGGGCGAACGCACGGACCCAAAAAGATGTGGCCCCTTACAAGGCCCTAAGAGCCTGAACTAGTGACACTAGTCAACCCTGTTGTGAACTTGTAGTTGTATGTAGTTGATTGTAACATTGTAGGTAGTTGCATCTAGTTGCAACCCTGTTACACTACATTGGGACATTTTCACGGGTAAAACAGTAAAACTCGTAGCCCTCGTGGCTTCAAGTGCCACTTAGGTGCCCTTCCAGTGCCTGACCCACTTTGAACACTGGGAGAAATGGTCACCTCCCAAGCGACACTACTGCTGCGCTCACTATGCCGCAACCTTGGGTGGTGATGATGATGATGATGATGATGATAAGACTGATAAGACTGATAAGACTGATAAGACTGATAAGACTGATAAGACCGATAAGACTGATGCTCCAAGTCGTTTCATTCGTTTCACCATTGGCATGGGATTTGTGTAGCTGGCGTCGCAGTCATCAGGATCATCAGCCTGTGATCTGAGGGGCGAGCCTGCGATCCCTTCGATTGCAATGAGGACTTTGAAGGATGGAAGACCAAGCCCCTCGGCAGTGCTGTGCTGACCAAAATCCATTGGTTGCTCATCATTTTCTCTAGATGGCCATTTGGAGGGTATACCGGTATACCCCATACTTCCACACACACATATAAATATATATAATATAACATATATATATATATAATAAATAACATATATATATATATAAGATATTTATAACATATATATATATATAATATAACATATATATATATACATAACATGTATATGTATATGTATATATATATATAGATGTACACATACAATATTTGCATACCATATGGAAAGAAATGAGTGATGTCAATCTTGCCACAACTGCCAGGTGGAGTTTTGCCAAGAAGGCCTGGTGCTGCGAGAAGACCAAACGTGCCTGTGCAGCTCGGCGCTTAATAGGCGTGGCTAGGGCTCGGTGCCAAACTCTGGAAGTTGTGGCAGCTACAGCTAGCACCAGCCGTTGCAACCAAGGAACCTCATCACCAGCACCACGATGTTGTGAAGGTGACAAGACACACGGAGTACTCGCACGGTCATCCAATTCCTCACGATTTGGTCACCGTGACAAAGCACACGGAGTACTCCTACGGCCATCCGCCACCACACGTGGTGAAAGTGACAAGACCCAAGTTGTATTCACATAACCATCCTCCCCCTCCGCATGACGTGGTGAGGGCGACAAGGCACACGGAGTACTCCTATGGGCATCCACATCCGCCCGATGTGGTCAGGGTGTCGCACGTGGAGTATCCGCATCATGCAATCGAGACTGGAGAGCGCACAGAGCTTTCGGGTTTCAACTGTCTCTTGGCTCTTTGGGTCGGGGAGTCGGGGACGTGGATTTTGGGGTCTAACTATATCCAACCGTATCCAGTTGGCTGCTCCAACATTCATTGATGTTCATGTTGAATCAGTCTGATCACCACCTCTCACGCCGTATCTGAGGTCATGATGAAGGCGGCACCAGACATTGGCAAAGCAGCTGGAGCAGCGCTCAATCCTTGCCCTTGGGCTGCGAAAACACATCTGAGACATGTGTAGAGGCGAGAATCTGTGTAGATGAGGATAGTATTCAACAGAAATAAGTGAGGGACATCGTCACCGTGAGCAACTTGAGTTTATTTTTTCCTGTGGTGACAAGCAATTTGGATGTGTGGATGTCCAAAACATTTCATGACTTGCTGACCAAACATTGGCTGTTCGAACAATGGAGTTTGAGGTATTGTTGCAAACACTTCGGCCTAGCTTGCCCCTTCAACTGCTACAAAGGCTTGCCTTCCTCTGGCAATGCAGGGGAGGGGTTCCTTTGGGGGGAAACCCGCAGAAAACTAAGCCGGTCAGAGTAGATAAAAGTGATCAATTTGCCCTAGTTCATTCTTTTCTTCTTCTTCTTCTTCTGCTTCTTCTTCTTCTTCTGCTTCTTCTTCTTCTTCTTCTTCGTCTTCATTCTTAGTCTTCCACTGCTAACGCCAAAGAAGCAGTGCTTGGATTGAACCATTTACCACCTTAGGAGTGATGTCGAAGTGCAGGACAGATTCAGTGTTCGCAGTTCTTTGTCAACCTTTGAAGGCAATGTGCCGCCCCATGGATCCATAGACATCACCAAAGAGCCACCCCATTTGGAACCTTTTGAAGGCCATCCCGACTCCTGGTCCGACAGACACAGAAGTTGGTGCTGTGATCCTTGTCATCAACCTGGACTTGCCTGTGCTTGTTCTGATTTTTTCTCGGTGTTTGGAGACCCAGGGTATGATCGATGGATATTTGAGATATTAGCTTGGGGACCACCGCGCAAAAAGAAAAAGGAGTGGATGTTTCTGTTCTACATTTTGAATCATTTTGATACATACCCTCAACGCATCTCAAAGCTTTCGAAGAGTCTGTGCACAACACGGATCTAAGGAGAGCAGCCACATCGGCTGTGGCCTGAGGGGGCGGAGATCGGCACCAGAGGTCTCCTATGACAATAGCTACAATTGTGAGCTGGATGTGAACTTAGTACTTGATTTTGGATGTTTTTGGGTTTTCGCTGGATTTTGGAATGGTTTTCTTTGTTTTTCTTGGAAAGAGGATGCCCCAAGATTTTATGATATCGCCCGTTCTCAGAGATATCAAAGATATCCACTGTTTTTTGCCATTTGGCGTAAAGCTGTGCAGCATCAATGAGGTGATGCGGGGTTCCAGAATTGGCAAGTTGGCTGGTCAGCGGCAAAGAAAGAGTCGCTCGCTGGCCAACTGTACGTTTCCGTTGGATGTCGTTGGTTGCCGTTGTGGTGGGATCAGGGTACGAATGGCAAGGGCGTTGAAGTTTCGGTGGCTGGAGGCCAAAGGTTGATGAGGCCAAAGGTTGATGGCATCGCTTGTTGAACCTCGTCTTTCTTTCCCACAGCTCTTTCCAAAGGCGTTCAAGTTTGGTTCTTAAAGTCTTCCCAAAGCTGCTCAACCTCATCACATGGGAAGCATTGACCGTACCAACTGGTTGTGCCGCCTGAGATGGTGTTGTCGTGCTCGACTACGTGGCTGCGAGCAGAAGCGTTTGCTGACGCCACTCAATCTCAACAGTGCCGGGGATCGGGCTGGTTGCGCCATGTTGCGTTTGGTAGATCGTGGATTATAGATGATAAGTTGGGCCCTCAACAATCATCAACAATCATCAACGATCATCAACGATCATCAACGATCATCAACGATCATCAACATGGATTTTTGTTGGATCACCAAGTTATTCCAACTTGAATTTGGAGCTCTTAACTTCGGCCTGGCCCAAAAACCATCCCCGGTTCCGTGGATGGTACTGAGGTGATTCACTGGCAAAGCTCCAGTTGTGGCTCTGGCCGGCTGCGGCCCCAAGCTAGACCAAGTTGATCTAAGATATCTAAATGGTGGGATGGGGTATAGAAATGTATAGAATTACACCCAAATTTTAGAGACCTACAGTATCCTACTGTGATTCGGTTCACTGGTCTATTTCCTCCTGTAAACTCAACACATCTTTTCCACGTGGGGGGAGCTATATCTCAAAGAGAGGCCCTCACGCAATTGCTGGGAGCCGAAGCTCCTTCCACGTCGTAGGCGCATGTTTCACGCTAGGCCCAAAAAGTTGCTCACATTTGATAGTCATCGCTGCAGCACTTGCTGGATGAAGGGGTATCACAGCCGCACCTGGACAGGGTGTGTGTCTTTTCCCTGGCTTCTATCAGCTTCTAGCGTATTTGCTGCCTCGGCCCAGACCGTGCCCATTGACGCAGCCGCATGACCGCATATTTTTTGAGGGGCAGGCGGTTTGCGCCCGAACTTTTTCATTGTGTTTCTTTTATTTCTTGCCATTTTCTGCAGTTTGATCAATTTTTCAGGGAATCGCACGTCCCAGGCTAGCCATGGACCTGAAGTCGGGAAGGTCGTTAAGCGCTGCCATGATTGCAGGCAGTTCTTCCGTGGGCGCAGACACGCAACTCGATTTGCACAAAGGGAAACCATTTCAGTTTCAAATATGTCCTGATTTTTCCCTTCTGGAGGCTGCAAATGGCTGCAGTGAAGTTCAAACTTTGCACGTTTTTTTCGGATCCAAACCATCACACTGGCGGCTGAATAATCTTCTCAGCGCTTCTCAGTGCCATTTCCTAGGCAGTTGGTCAGCGAGGCCTTGTATGGCATGTTCCTTCTGAGCCGTCGGTCGGGCCTGGAGATCGGCAAGGCAGCGGGGCGTGGGGAAAAGGCGAGTAAGGAATTGGAGGATTTCTATGGTGCCTTCCTGGTTTCTGGTTTCCATGCTTTCTATGCTTGGTTCCTAGGAAAATGCCGCAGTTTCGTCACGTTTCGCCATGGTCTCCTGGCTTCCACGTTTTCCTGGTTTGCATGGGTTCCATATATTCCATGAAAACAACAACAAGAGCAAACCCTGGCAAAAAGCGCAAACATAATGAAGAAAAATGGTCGAGAAATGTGCAAGCAAGTAGGGGAAGTCGGCCGCAACGGCAAAGAACTACTGTAGAGATCTGTAGAGCAAGGAGGACACGGACAGCACGGACACGGACAGAGTTGCCATGTAGAACAAGAAATCGTTTCCAGAGCCATGTTTTCCACGGTTTCCATGGCTTTCCCACGGTGATGGTTGTTGCGGCGTTGCGGTTTCCATGGTTTCCACAGCTTCACAGTTCTCATGGCTTTTCTCAGTACTTCCACGATGTATGGGGGTTTCCATGGTTCACCGGTTTCCATATTGCTTGGTTCCAGGATGTTCCACGGTTTGGTTTCGACGCTTCCTCAGGGGCCTGTGATGGCTTGTGGCAAGACGAACAGCAACCAACTCCTCCCCATCTCTCCCAACGGTATGGCCAGGATGCAGCCGCCCTTCGCAGTGACGACAGCTTGAGCACTTCTGCAGGGTCTGAGGTGGGGCCCGGGCCCCATTCCAAGCATCAGTATAATAAGATATAATATGATATAATATATACCATATAGTATCATTATATATGATGGAGTTAAATAGGGTCGGAAGAGCTGTTTTAGACATTTGTACCCCTGCTGTGCCTTAAAGAGATGCTGTGCTCTCCAGTTGCAGGGCTCGGAAATCGACCGATACGAGCGCCAGGAGTGCTGCCAAGTTAGTTGCACAGGGTTCGGCACATGGGATTCCTCAGGGTACAACCTTGGAACAGAGGGACAAGTTGAACAAGCATTTTTGAGAAAATTATAATATACTTGATCGATCTTGATCGCACATGGTTCTGTGGATAGATTCTCGATGTCTGAACGTCATGGCAAAACAAACACACACACACACATATATATAATATGTCTCGAATTTTCTGTAAATCAGCAGTGTCCCTGGCAGGCTTTCAATGGAAGCAAAGCCGATGTCAAATGTAATTCTTAAAACCATTTTAAGCCATTTCCAGCCCATGATTCCGATGATTCCCATCAAATCCATAACAACCTGACCTGGAAGTGCCAGGAGAGCGCAGATTTTAAGCCGCCACCGGGCTTGGAGGCCAAAGGTTTACTGCCTCCACCAGGTTTTGAGGACTGGACCGTTGCGTAAGGCTTGCGGCTGGCGAAGTCGTTGCCAAAAAACGCCTCGATTTTTAGATTTTTAGCAGCTGCTAAAACATGCTACCCACTCAAAATCCATGCAAAAGAATCAGATTGTCAAGCCTTAATGGCAGCTCACAAGAGTCGACGTCCTGATTATAGGGGAGAAATCCCCAAGAAGCCAACTTTGACAGCAAAGCAGACGTCCTGGTGCATCGGCTGGGTACATTGGAACTTCCCATTCGTTGTAGCAAGCGAAAATAAACACTAAGTGATTACGGTTTTGTCCATTGGTCTCAGGGAATGTTTTTTTTCTGTTTGGAAGTTGCCAGCCGGTGGAGTATCACCTATATTGGTGCAAGCCACTGATTTCTTTTTGAAATTGTGCAATCGTCTCATTCTGCAGGACATAGAGCCACTGTCGCTGCTATCTATGGAAACGCCAATGGCCACTGATGGATGTTCATACAGTCTGGAAGCCAACTTGCAGGAGCCTGGGTGATTGTTTCCAACCAAATATTCAGACTTGCATGGAGACTTGTGTCAACGACTGAGGAAATCCTATGTTGATCATTTTCCATCCATCTTCCATCTATCTTCCCATCGATTTTCACCAAGTTCGGTATGTTTCCCATGGATTTTTCCCATCATTTTTTTCTATCATAACCCAATTTTCCATCATTTTCCCATCATTTTCACATGGATTTTCCCATGGATTCTTCCCATGGATTTTTCCCCACCAATTTCCAGGTCTGCAGATTTTTGTCCCGTTGAAACGGAACGACGGAACGAGGTTTGATGCCTTGGACGGCCAGCCTAGCGTTGAGTCGCCACCTCCTGGGGCTGCTGTCCTCTCGCCGAGGTGCGACTGTGTCTCGGTGCTGTGCCGAGGAAATGTGAGTTGAGAAGTTGATATATCATAAGTAATTTCATGAATAGTATTTTTAATATTATAATATATATAATTATATGTATATATATATATATAGTTATAAATTATAATATAACTTAATATATTAATATCTAATAATATCTCAAAGTGACTTGATATATTTTGATTATATTAGCAAGACTTAGATGATGTTTGATAATAACAATAGATGACATCAGTACTGGTACCCACCATTTACTGATATTCATAATTTAGCACTGTGCAAGTGCCACATTTTTATCAATATCAGGTTGTCTAGGCCTGGCATAAGCCCGATGGTCAGGCAAGCAACGCTTACGTTCCGTCGAACAGCAGAGCGGCGCCCAACTCATGCTGGACCGCTGCACTGGGAGAGGGTGGCATGGCTCCAGCTGTGAATCTGCTCGATTGGAAGCCATAGACTCTTCAAGATGTGTCAGAGTTGAAGTTGAAACCATGAAAACTCTTCTAACGTGGTAAACTAACGGTTAATGCAATGATAAATATTCCCATTGACCAACAATTTGGGAATTCGGGGGTCATTTTGACATGACATCACAGTTTTCTAGGACGAGCAGTGGCAAATGCTCCACCTTGCTGGAGCATGCCCTTCGATCTACAAGGCGAGGCGGAATGGTGTGATTTGAGACCTAAGCATGGCACGCAGAAAACAAGTTCATGCTGGATGTTGTTTCAAGAATTGGACATCGGAGATCTATTGACATCTATTGACATCTGACATCTAATGTCCTACCCCCCATGGTGGGTGCGACGCCATAAAAAACCTCTGCCTCCAGGCGCAAGAGCTGTTGGAAATCATGGAAGGTGCCGCAGGGGCTGGATGGTGACAGCAGGGGCTGATAAGATATTGAAAGTAATTTTTGAACAACACCAGTACCGATGCTTGACCATATAATGTGATATACTGTAATATGTAAATAGCTAATTTAAGATCGAAATAGATGCAACGTAGTGCGATGTGATGGCATGTGATCCATGTAAACATGGCAGGATCATGCAGGCATGTAGGCTAAATAGGAGATTTGCATATGTGATTTCCAAGGCATGGAACAGTTGCTGTGTTTGCATACACATGTGCGTATGTTTCGACAACCGCACGTCCACGCAGATATCTCATGATATCTCAATGTATTTATCATATTTCGCAGAAACTACGTTTAACATCGGGAACCTGATGTTGTCCGTTGTTCGGGTGTGGCAAGGTGTGCCATGCAATTTTATTATGACGTTGGTCGAATCATGTTGTGGGGCGGGGTGAAGTGTAATCATTTAATCCCATCGCCCTAATATTAAACATCCTTTCTTATGCTCCGAATGTGGTTTCATCCCCGAAACCATGGTTTTGGGATCTGGGGATGTTTAGTATGTAACAAATGTAACATTAGGATTCCCATTGGGATGGACCATGGTGACCATACCATTACCACATATAACACATTTTTTCCCGTGTTTCTACAATGGTCTGACCATGGCAGATGCGGTTTAAAGCGGTACACCCTGCAGGTCTCCAGATTTGTTTCCTCTCCCAAAACCGGAATGATGACGTGACATTTGTGATCTGCCAAAACCACTGTTGGTTGGTTATTATAGGTTATTATCATATGATAATATCAGTATATTCCATAATATTCCATACAGGCATCTGACAAAGTCGTACCTGTTTTAGGAAAAAAACGTTGTGCCTTGGGGAAGTGTGTTTCGCAAAAGTCGTGCCTTTAGCAAGAACGCATAGGAACTCTGGAGTTTGGATATGTAACCCGTTTTCTTATGAGATCACGTAGCTGATCACTATTAGCATGCAGAATTCCAGGTTGTGGGTATGTTGATTAGTTATAGGTAAGATGGCGTTGAGCTGGTGATTTGATGATTTTGGATGTTCATCCCAGTTATCCTGTTTTTCCCCGAATGTGTAGCGAAGGGTTCCCGTTTATAGTCTGGGGGTCTGGGGGACAAAGTAGTACTGGGAAGTAGTTTGTGCAAGCTTTGTAGTACAAAGTAGTACTGGGAAGTGACCCAGAGAATAGAAAAATAATGATGCAGAATCCCAGCGTTGACATGCAGGTTGCACACGAGAATTACATTATAAGAGAGTAGAAAACCAATATTTTCATCAATCGCGTTCCATTGTGTTTCATTGGTTTTTCATGTCTAAACTGCATGGTTACACTTTTATTGAGGACAGCGTTCCATGCAGAAAAGCATTTAGGCATGACTTAGGCATGACTTCTTGGATACAGCGTTTACAATGGTAAATGCTATTCAAAAACATGCTAGGCATGACTTAGGCGTGACATTGTCGTTTCCCTGTAACTGTTTGGTGGTTTGGAACATGACTTGGAACATGACTTTCCATATATTGGGCATGTCATAATCCCAACTGACTTTCACTCCATCATTTTTCAGAGGGGTAGGTATACCACCAACCAGACAATATCAGTATTACACTACAATATATTTGGGTTTATCACTAAGAAATCCTCTTAACCAGTCACAAATGTTCCAATCTCCATGGCCACCAAGAAAAAATGGGCTGGTTAAATGTGGATTTCCCCAGCGATATCCAGCAATAATATTGGGCTGGTTAAATTGAAATAGGGCTAATCGCTAACATTATCACCACTATTACTGGGACATACGTACCATTCAAAATATCATTCAATATCATTCAATATCATTCAATATCATTCAATATCATTCACTATAATAACAACATATAACAACAATAATATAATTATTAGTCAAGATTATTCAATATTATTCAATATTTGGCTTTTAATCCTACAATCTAAACATCATATCCATCACTCTTCACGGTTGAGATGTCTCCAGGCTTCACCGTGGACATCTCCAGTGCCATGTGGACCGAACTCATGCGATGCCGCCGCGAGGACGAGGTTGCGACATCCTGCAGTTGGTACATGGTAAACCCAGGGGACACAGGTTGGAAATAATCCCATTTGCAGTGTTTCATAGTTACCCTGACCGGTTGCCAACTGTTATTTTTTCGGATTTGTCGCAACCATCCACAGCATGGTGTGATGAATTTTCAGCAACAATACAGTGATACTGTACTAGATTTATGATGACATGGGGCCATTGGGTGGCCAAAAAAATGCACCGGATTCACATCTCAGGAGGGCCAATGGGGTCCCGATTTGTCACAGCGACAGGACAGCGGGTCACCATTGACCTTGAGCAAAGTGCAAGAGATTGTGGGCTACCGTGTGCACGTGGAACGAGACTCTCGGGCTGCTTGGATGAACGATTCACGCTGAAACTGATCTTCTCTTCAATGGATCATTGCTTCAATTGGGATGTCCAAAGCAGTGAATTAGTTGTTATCTTACTGCTATATGGAGATTTGCAAAATTAACATGGGGGTACCCCCAAATCATCCACTTTAATAAGATTTTTCCATTATAAACTACATATAAACCAACCATTTTGGGTGATCCTTCATTTATGGGAACCTCCACATAGTTTTTTTTTTTTTTTTATGGACACCATTCACTATCACCTTGAAGCAGCCGTGGAACACAAAGGCCTTGAGGATCTTTGGACCAAAAAACATGGAGTCGAGCGCAGCGATTTTGCTGAAGAGGCCTGGTTGATTTAAGCATCTTGGAGCTCTTCCAGAAATGCAACTGATGTGACTGAGTTGAAGAACTTGTTTGGGCTCGCGGATTCTGCGAACAGATGGACCAATGTCATACTGTACCGACTTCACAATGTGAAACTCAAGCTTGATTTACATCTGTGCAGAAGTACGGATATGGTTCAAGACCCCCCCATCAACCTCTGGTTCTCACAGCAGAGTTGGTAAAAGCTGGATGTTTACCCCCCATCAACCCATGGTTCCACAGGACCCATCCCCTATCGCCATGTTTGTTACATCCCATTTTTCTATGCAAACCGTGCCCACATTTTGGGTGCTTGAAGGCCCATGTTTGATGATCAAATCACAATTTTCGATCGTTCAATTCCCATATTTGATGGTTACATGCCCATGTCTGATGCTTAAATCATCTTAAATCATGTTAAATGACAATTTTCGCTGTTTCAACACCCATCTTCAATGGTCATATTCGAACCTTAAAGCCACCCTTTTCAATTCGCTGAATCCACATTTGGTGCGAAGATCGCCAGGTTGGAGGAGCTCTGTGTCAAGGAAGTTTTGAAGTTGCCGGAGGATTGCGATGCTCGGTGGAGTCGATGATGGCGGTCTGGTTCCAAGAAAAAAAACAGCGGTGGACATCTTTAGGGATTCTTTGGAAGCATCTTGGTGGTATCCCGAATGATTGATTTTTCAAAGATATACTTCATGGGTCGACACATGTTAGACGGATGAACTTGGATACATCAATAATATGGATTGATGATCTGCAGAATCTACAGACCATCTTGGATAAACTTGGATATCCAAATGTTAGACTGTTAGACTAACCGTTAGACGGATAAACTTGGATTGATGATAATGTACTTGGATTCTTTGATAGATGTTGATAATTTTGGAGAGGTTGATCTTCGGATCTAAAGCAGATCTCTAGCACAACGCCTAATCATAAAGGCAGGGAGCTAAAGGTCGTCCAACGTCCAGCCCAGTCCATGACGTGCGAAGGTCATCTCCGAAATGGCATTTTTACTTTCCACTTACCCTAACAGTCCTAACACTTACCCTTTGGTTATTTAATGTAGCTATGCAAAATCACCATGTTCAATAGGTAAAACATCATTTTTATGATCTATTTCTATGGGCCATGGCTTCCATAGCAATGTTCAATAACCAGAGGGTAACCATACTAAATCCATCTTGTGGTTTCAATACTCATCTGGCCACAGCCAAGGATTGGAATGAAATCAAGATTCTGCAGAAGAGCGGCAATCTCACGCTGAGGGCTGCTTGGCCGCGGAGCGCGATATGTTAAGTATGTGTCCATATGATTCCATAGAGGAGTGGGTCAAGATTATCTCGTTTCAGTTGATCAAATCCCAATTTGTGATGGTGAAATCGTTTCATGGTTGCTGGTAATCCAACCTAGGAAAATGGAAAATAATGGCTTGTATGGCTTGTTTTTCCTATGTTTTTCCTATATTTTTTACTGGTTTTGACCTATTCTTAAAATGATGCGAAATTTTCCATCCGCAAATTCTGAACGACGACCAGGTGGAAGGGGAGTTCGTGGAGCTGGAGGGCATCCAAAGTGCGGTGCTAGAGATGAAGCAGGAACTTCTGCCAGGGGATTTTATGGATTCTCAATGGATCTTAAATGGGTATGGATCAATACCTATTAATACCATTTTTAGTGGGTTATTCACATCCATTTACCAGCTATTTTTCACCATTTTCCACCGGGATCTCAATGTATCTTGAATAGATCAAACGTGGGAAAAAAAAAAGATCCTCAACATGGGGTAAAAATCCTATCCAGACGAGGGATTGAGTACTAAATGATTGAAGCCGCATAGCCTCTGGTAATTTGGTACATATGGGACATCACCATGGTTAAATAATAGGCACATCATCAAACTAAATGGCCATGGCTTCCATAGCGTTGAATTAGCAGAGGGCAAGTATTTCTTCAATCAGAAATTGGGGGTTTCAACCATCAAAATGGGAGTGAAGTCACATTAAGTTTGGGAATTTTACCATTTTGTGATTGAAAGAACGTGATGAGAAAATATGGAAAATAGCATTTGATTTTTTAAACAACTTATTGTGTCATTTTCCCTCGGACTAAAGTTGCTAAATTTGAATATGACGCCAGCCTGTTTCGCGTGTTTTCGAGGCTTAATCAAAATGGAATGAGATTTGAGTTTTCAATTGGTGTTATTTGTGGATGGTTTATCTGTTGATGGTGATATTGCGGATAGTTTAAAATTGGGTTTACCGCATGATTTGTGATTATCATGATTATTCCAGATAGGTAATGTTTATTGATTGATCTTTAGTATTCATAATGTGCGTCATACTATCAGTGTTGATCCATGTTCCAAGTCAGACGTCTTGTCAAGAACCGTCAACTTTCCATTTTTTTCCAGTCTCTTTTTTCAGGAGCTGTGCAAGCGCCTCAAAGTGATGGAACCCCAGGTGCACAGTGCCGTCCAGGTTTAACGTTTGTTGAGTGTCGACACTGTAAAATGATCGGATTTTCAATTGATCACGACGTTTGAAATGGATTTGGATGATGTGGCCTTTCTATCTTTTTGAGAGTTGCTATCTTTATACAATTTATATACATCAAAGATGTTATACACATTCTAGCCCATAAACTTACCCATATGATAGATAAGATATACATATGCAACAACAATACGCATCATGGTGATACAATCGTCAATGATGGGAGCATGGCTGAAATCCGGTTGTTTCTCAAGATTCTTGCGGCTTCCCTAGGAGTAGACACATGCCGTTGCGTCTTAATGGAGGTGACCAGCTGGTTCTCGATTTCCAGGACCTGCGGCAATGTTGGAAGCCTCGCCCATGGTGAGATGATGTGAGATGCGCTGCTTCTCTTGAGATTGACGCACGAGAGGTTGAGAATGATGTGAGAATGATTTGCTACTTTTTTTTGTTCGCCCTGAGAGGGCGAATCTGCACAGAAGCATCCACCTGCGATTGTTAGATCCCTTGCCAAGCACAAGGCACAAAATGGCAAGGAAATTTGTGATTTGTAAAGCCCCACCTTTCCTTTCCGACCCTTTGAGTTGAGTTTTTAATTCACTCAATCCCAGCTTTACTAATGTTTTATTGGACATCGAGTGCGCCTTCGAATGGAAGGGTCAATTTGGGGACGAAATTCATGCACAATTTTGACGAAACCATGCCGAGGGGCAGGCAGCGAGCAGGGAAACGCGACGCCTGTTCCATGCTGCCAACTCGCCTCACGCGAGTTTTGGGTTGGTTTCAACTTGTAATATTGCATGTTTTTTCCTTCACCTTCTAGTGAGGTAAAGGTCGTGGTACCTGCCACACTGTAATAGGACTCGGGTAGATTTGTAAGACTTATCCGAGCAATTGTGGCTGCAGCAGAGCCCTTGCGCTGCTGTGATGTTCAACTTTCAAGAGGGAAGGAGGATCTTTCTATCAGAACATTCGACACAAAATCCGTAATGCATGATTCTTTAAAAACAAGAAAATGACAAAGGAATTTGCTTGCAAATTAAGATTGAAAGATCTCCTGTTGCTTGAAACACATTTACAACCGGATCTTTCAAAGGCTGAAACCTTGAAGCAATCGGTTTATATCTCTTGAAATTTCTTGGCAGCTAATAAATAAATCAATACAGTACAATTTAATATATCACAATATACATTAAACATATTGTATATATATATATGACATATTTAGTCATATTTATATTTATTTATATAAATAATTATAGACATATCATTTAAATATAAATTTTATTCCCGACCTGCCAGGTGAGGGTTTCTACATTTATCAGAGTTACCTCCCTCCTTCCTCCTCCTTCCTCTTCTTCCTCCTTCTTCCTCAATTGCCAGCTCCAGATCTCAGTGGGCGCTGCCGGACCTCAACCACGAGCTCTAGATCTCAGTAGGCACTGCCGGACCTCAACTGCGAGCTCCAGATCTCAGCAGCTGCGAGCGCTAGATCTCAGTGGCTCTAGATCTCAGTGGGCCCGGGCCTCAACTGCGTGCTCCAGATCTCAACCGCGAGCTTCAGATCTCTAGATCTCAGTAGGCACTGCCGGGCCTCAACTGCGAGCTCCAGATCTCAGCAGCTGCGAGCGCTAGATCTCAGTGGCTCTAGATCTCAGTGGGCCCGGACCTCAACTGCGTGCTCCAGATCTCAACCGCGAGCTTCAGATCTCAGTGGGCGCTGCCGGACCTCAACCACGAGCTCTAGATCTCACTGGGCATTGCCGGACCTTAATTGCGAGCTCCAGATCTCAGCAGCTGCGAGCGCTAGATCTCAGTGGGCACTGCCGGCCTCAACCCCGGAGCTCCAGATTTTAGTGGCTCTAGATCTGAATGGGTACTGCCGGACCTCAACCGCGAGCTCCAGATCTTGCTGGCTCCAGATCTTAATGGGCATTGCCGGACCTCAATACCGCGAGATCTAGATTTCAATGGATACTGCCGGACCTCAACTGCGAGCTCCAGATCTCAGTGGCATTACCAGGCCTTAACCGCGAGTCGGCTTATCGAGATTTGGAACTTGCAATTGAGGTCCGATATTCCTATTTGATGAAAAATAAATATAAATAATAATTAAATTTTCCTTATAATTTTTTTAAAATATTTATATCTTGGACCATACGGTTCGATTAAAATTTAATTTTATGAATTTTTAAAATTTGAATTTTTAGATTTTATAAATAAATATTAATTATTATTTGATTTTATTTGAGGAAAATTGGAAATTTTATTTTTTAGAAATTTAGAATTAATTGATTTTGAATTTTGAATTTTTATTATATTTTAATATTTTATTATATTGGATTTTATTAATAATTTATTTTTATAATATAAATTATATTAAAATAATGATGAAAAAAAAATTCGAAATATTTTGATTTTGGAGATTTCTGGATTATATTTGGTAATATTTTAAAAAAATGGAAATATTATAATTTTATTTCTAAAAAAAAAATGGGA